TTAGGCACCGTTTGGTAACCATTCTTTTTTTCATTCTCATTCTTCTACTAATTTTCAACCACACATTCATCAATAAAATAATATTTTCCATCACATCAATAACTTTTCCTTCATTTTCAACCATAAAAAAGGTGTGATTTGACACAAAGAATACATTTTTTTTCTAGAATAATGGTTACCAAACGGTGCCTAATCTCACATAGGAAAATTAGAAACGAATAGTCTTTGAAAGGGAGAGAACCTACATGCTAGTAGGTTGAGCTAAAGCCCACATGCGCATGCCACCGTCCAACCGTCCGACACGATACGGGTCGTGGGCTTGAGCCAAGTTGATATATTTTTTTTGATAAAATAATATTTATTTATATTATTTTTCCTGAATTTTCTGTGCGTTGTGCGCGGCACGTGTTTTCTTCTAGAAGATGACGGTTGATAGTTAAACTATATATCCAAACAGGCTGTGTATGTTGAAGATACAACTTCTCGATTGTTGTGTCTTTTGAATACAACTTTTCAATTTCTATATAAAGGTCTCCATACCCCGATTTTTATTCATTCCAAAATCAATTTTGATTTTATTCTTCTTGCAAATTTATTTTTCATCCCTGCATTATTCCACATTTTGTAATTAGGTCTCAAAAGTTATTTTTGTGCATTTTAGTCCTCCATTGTTTTAGAGAGATCAAAATGTGAGTAGGTTCCCTGGATCTTATAATTTGGAGTGCTACTATTACAAGTCGAGGTTATTGTATTTTGGGAGACGAGTTTCGGAATACCGCCACACTAATACGGGACATTATCATTTTAAGGAGAAAGAGCCGAACTCTTGCATCGACCATTAATATTTTATATAGTTCATTTTTATAAGTCATAATTATGTCCAAATCATTTACGATAATATCATTATTCACAAATAGTAATTACATCCTAATCATCGACATATTTATTTGTGTCAGACTCTCCAACGAAAATATCTTCAATCACTACTGTCTGAATTTCTATCACTCATCATTTGCTTCATTAATTATATTGTTATTGATAAGACCCCCTCATCAAATTTGCCTAAGACCTCTAAATTGCTTGAGCCGTCTGCCGACTGCTGACTGGTTGAACTCCATACACATTAGATTTCATAAGCATTGCTAGGAGGTTTAGTGGTGGCCCTAGAAATGTTGACAATAATATGACATGTCTACAACCTTTTGGCTAATATATAGTGATATGAACGGACATTGAGGTCATGACCTGCCTATCTAGCCATTCAATGTGGATTATCGGTACATAGTAGAATTTATGATGATGTTTTCATGCATTCACCACCATATATATTGGACATATATGTTCATATCTTTGTGTCTACATTGTAGATTACAATCCAAGCTAATTGGATTGGACTCATGAGCGACTAGAATATATTTTTGATTATTTCATAATGTTTTAGTTTTAAAATGTCTCAATCCAATGAAAGGCAGAGAAAGACGGTCACTTAGTTTACGTCTTTGAGAGGGCCATAACAATAAAGAAATCTAAAATGCCACGACACTCGAATACCCAGACAAAAAAGTTAGGGTAGAATAATTGGCAAAGGGTTCACTCATATATTTATAAATATATCGGTTTTGCAAGGTACTTAGTAATATGTTTAGTATAGTGTTTTAGTGTGTTATGTGTTGTGTGCTCAGTCTATACCGTTGCACACGATCCACAATTGCTAGCTTGATACAATTTTAGAAATTATAGGTAGACTTTTCATTGTGTATGAGAGCCATGCGTATAAAAATGTGGAGTTAGTGACTTTAGACAGTCGTTGGAGCAAAATACGGTAAATTGTATGCTAATGTGGCTTCAAGTAACAATCGAGTTGTTATTTGATTATGCTCGTTTTTGTGGCTATGTGCTTGTTCTTTGACAATTAATTGAATGATTAATAAAAGCAATACTATTATAACGTATTAAAGGGGTATCACATATATCCCTTACATATACATACATACAATATTAAAAGAGGCAACTTCCTTGTCACTGTTCCTAAGCCAAATGGCCAAAGAAGCCGAGCCGTTTTGGAGCCGAAACGTTTTTGGGGCCGAGCCGGATGAAGGTTACGTTTGCTTCCCTTTAATTGTTATATTATAATAGTTGTTTTGGTCCCTTGGGCTCCGTACGCATTGCTCTCTCTCTCTCTCTCTCTCGATTTGTCTAGATTGTTCTTTCCCCTCATCCGTCTCTCTCTCTCTCTAGCGATTTCTTTTCCCCCTTTTCAAACCCTAAGAATTCCGCAGTTGTTCTCCGCTTTATGTGTGATCCTACGTTGTGAAATCAAGAAAACATCGTAGAATTTGCCTCGGTTGTTCTTCTTTATGATTTATTTCGTGTATTTCATCGTGTATCATTTTCACTCTTTCGGATCCTAATATTGATTTCGATCGGTTCTTTTGCTGTACGATTTTTTTGTTGTGTTCCATCGTGTATCTTTTTCGCACTTTTACATCCCGTTTTCCATTTGTTGTAGGGTAGCAGAGGTTCTGTCGTTCTGTGACGTTGTTGGCTTTTTCTTGCTCTCTCTATCGCGTTTCAGAGAGGGTTTTGTTTTAGGTGAGGGTACGGTGGCCAACAGATCCTGTTGTTGATTTGTTGTGGAGTAGCAGCGGTTATGTCCTTTCTCTCTATCGTGTCTTATTTTCTGAGATTTCAGGGAGGGTTTTGTTTTGGTTTATCTAATTTTTCTTTCTTTTTAACACTGAAGATGTTTTTGTGTGTACTGCTACAATGACTTATCGCAGAAGTTCCTTCGGTTCTTATTCTCTGCGATCGATTTGTTGTGTTTCATCATTTCTCATGTTCGCCCTTTCAGACCTCCTTTTCGATTTGTTGTAAAAAAAAATAACAGGGGTTTTGTTCTTCTGTTGCTCTCTTCTTTCTCTATCGTTTCTGATTTCTGAGATTTCAGAGATGTTTTCTTTTTCAGGAGGATATGTTTATATGCTTGATGAAATGGTTTTAAGATGTTTATATGGTGATTCTATTGAAGCTTGTTTCTGTGTACTGTTAGATATGCTTTTTAATTGATAACCACATCAACTATTTTCCTTTTACTGGTTGGAACTATGAGATGAGGTAGTAGGTGGCCTAAATTGAGCCTTGACCTGAGAACCTGATTCTCATGGAATCCTGGTGAATTTTGCCATCTTCTAATCTCTGTAGGTATCTTTATAATTTATATGTAGACAATTTCGTATTGGATTGTTGATTTGTGGGGTTGCTGCATTAGGTATTATTCTGGTACGTGTATGTAGTGTATTGCATTCATATTTGTGGGCTGCTTTATGCAACCAATTGATCTCTAATTGTTTTGTGTGTTCCAAAATAATTTTCGACCACAATCATGTGCATACTACTGGTTCATAACTTTTGAACACATATACATTTTCTTTCTCTTGCCAAGGTTTGTGGATTTCAGATGTGATTGTGAGTAAATCCATGCGAGTTTCACTATTTCAAAATATATCGCTTGAAAATGTGATTCTAGATCTATAGAAGTTATTTCAAATTATTTTGGTGATTACTTCTACTGGGCTTTGGAGGTCTGGCCAGACTTAAAATTGAAATTTCCAATTGTTTCAGTGATGGCTGTATGTATTTTATTTTGTACTTCTATACTGGGCTTTAAAGATCTGACCATATTTAAAATTATGATGCTATTTGCTTCGAAAGATTATTTGTGCATTTACAATTTGAAAATTTATCTACTTGTTGGTTTGGTTAAGTTTGTAGGGTTTTACTGCAACTATTGTTGAAGTTGTTACTTTTACCATTCATTTTTTGAAGACATTATTATCATACTCGCTTGTGATTTTGAATTTCTTTTCGGGGGTTTAAAAGATTGCAGATATCGAGCAGTATTGGGAAATCGAGGCACAGTAAGTTCTGTTAATACATTCTTTTTATTTTGTGTTCTTATTTGTATCGTCAATTTCAATTATGTTAATAACACTTATCCTTTTGGCTAAAAAGTTGACATAAATGCTTATTTGTTGATTGCAGGCGCCGATTCTGATGTTCGTACTTTGGAGGGTAATCAGTGGAAACTGTATTGAATCAGGTTTTGGTCACTTCGGGTATATTTGCTATCTTTATTGTTAAACTTTAGCTTGTGTTTTATTACTCTTCGAAAATTTTAACTGGTTGTTCCCAAAAATTGAAGAAATCTTTAAAGAATTAGATTCTCATGATCGAGGGTGTTCCTTTATAAATCTTTACTTTTTCTTTTTTCCCCATTTATGTTGGCTGTTTATGTCTACTGTTGAGTTTTCATTCGTCTTTTTTTGTCTTCAAAGTTCTGTGCAAGTATTCCCTAAAAAAGAAAATGGATTCACATGTATATCTACCTCATATTTGCTTAATTTCAGATATTAGTTTTTCCTTGACATGAGTGCTTGATTCCCACTGTTTGTTACTCATAATTTCAGCTTCTAATCTTCTCTATCTTTGGATTAAACATGTTATATTATATTATAAGTATGTTCCAAAGGTTTAATTAAAACTTAGTATTTATTATATGTTGTACATCATTGTGTATTTGCTTATGGTGAATAGTTATTATGTGAGTTTATTTAGTTCAGTGTATATTTTGTGGTCGTTGAAAACGCGTGGGAAGAATGTGGTTGAGAAGAATTGGCGGTTGATGGAATTGATTTAGTAGGTCAAAGTATTTGCATGTTGGTATGTATATAGGCCGTTATCAATGTTAAGACCATCATTGGCCCTACACTCATTGGAAATGTTTGTTTTCCTCAGCTTTAGCATGGTTCTTATTGCCTTAAATTTTGTTTTCTTTATACATTTTAGGCCTATGTTAGATAACGAACAAAAAATTGTTCTCTTCAATAAATATTATTCTATCAATTTCTCCAACTGGAAGATGAAGTGTGGCTGCTTAAACAGGACCCAACAGATCAGACTGGTATAGATAATTTTATGGTTCAAGAACTTGATGGAACTAAGTAACGTTCCCAAATTGCAGTTTCTATTTGTCTGTAAGTTTAGTGTAATGAGTTTCTGTCGCATCCATGAGGTCTTGACTTTTAGGAATTGGTTTTCTTTGATTTCAGGCTGTTATTAAAAAGAAATATGGCCAAGATGCCACCAATGTAGGGGATGAGGGTGGCTTTGCTCCTAACATTCAGGTTGAACAGTGTTTTATGTTGAATAAAATCTTTTCTTGAGCTTCTTATATAATACTCAAATTGTATTATCTTTTATTGATTGCAGGAGAACGAGGAGGGTCTTCAGCTGCTCAAGACAGCCATTGAAAAAGCAGGTTACACCAAAGAAGTGAGTCTTCCAAACTTTCTTGGCTTCATTCTTTGATCAGCTAGAGGATGGGGGTTGGAGCTTAAATTTCGTTATGTATGTACAGGTTGTCATCGGAATGGACGTCGCTGCATCTAAGTTTTATGGATCAGACAAGACTTACGACTTGAACTTCAAAGAAGAGGCAAGTTCTTACTCTTTGTAACTTGCTTAGCTCCATTTGACTGCATTCTTGAATAATATGTCTTGTGCAAAGAGAGGATATCAAGAAAGCACGTAAGGGTTGTCTGTCTGTGGGTTATGTCTGTGTGCATAATAGTTGGTTCATAACTGCTAAGATTGTATTTGACATTTCAGTTTTATTGCTTTTACCTTTGCAGAACAATAATGGCACTCGAACTTCGAAGGACAGATTCGCCTGAAGCACAACTGCTTTCGTGCTTCTCCGCTTTTGCTTTCCTGTCGAAGGCTGCCTTTTTTCCCCCTTCCTTCGTTTGCCAAGTGAAGGGAAGATCCGCCTGAAGCATGCCCTTTTGGCCTGAACCTCTAGACATTGTTCCTTCTCTTCCACTGTGTTTTTATAGTAAATATTAGGCAAGTTTTGTTGTGAATTTGTCGTCTTCATTTTTTTAATTTTATATTTTGAGCTGCTCGATCTTATCATTGTTGTCATGCTTGTATTAATGGTGATTTGGTAGGTAATTTTTATATTGGTAATTAACTGTCTTTCCCCAACTAGATCAGATTATGAGGAAGAAGAATTTGCCGCTGAAGGCAAATGCAAGAATGAACCTGCAAAGTCCTCAATATCCTTGTATTCTTAAGGAAGAGGAGGTGGGCGATGACGAACTTGAAAGAATGCTAGAAGAGCGATATAAGACAAGAGCTAATTTCGTTACATATGCAGATAATGGTTATGAGCATAAAAGATCAATTGTGTTAAGGTCATTGCGTAATACAAATTTTAATTTTATGTAAATCATCTTGTGGCTATCCTAGGACATTAGTTTATATTTCTATTTCATTTTGCTTTTTCTAGGATTTCATATTTTTTGATTTTGTTTTTCTGTTATATTGTCTGAAATAATTTGGGTGTAGTAACAGTGGTACGCGGATCAAGACCCACAAACGGAAACAAAGGGTTCAAAGAAACAAAGACAAAGACAAGGGTTCAAAGAAACAAGGGCCAATTTCCTCCTATCTGGAGCAGTAATTCCAGATTCAGCTAGCGGCCTTCCAAAATTTGTTCCAGATAGCAAAATTGCTTGGTAAACAGTAGAACGTTGCTTTTTCCAATGAATTGTTTCCTTAATGCATCACATTCTTGGATCTCAGCCTCTTGTGTTATCATAATCTTTGCCTTTCATTTGAAGTTCTAGATTATGACATAATTTCAAATTACTTGTGTCATTTTGCATAATTTGGAGGAACAGGTCAGGTTTGTCTTAGTGCTAGGAAGAATAGACTGATGAATGCTTCTCCAATTACAAAAATGTGCATTGCACGATAACCGTTACAGTTTCGAAAAAAATGTGCTCTGGTTTGTGGGTTGTTCATAATTCTATTGTCCCGAGTATCTTCAATCTGAAAGATAATAGGAACTATGAAAAAATAGGTAAGTTCCACTTGATGCCATTCTATGTAATTTGTGAACGTTGGTTGTATTGAATAAGTTTTAGGTCTAAGATGCATGATAAATGACACTGATATGATATAATGGTGCAAGGATTACTGTTATGCCATGACAAATAGTCCTTTTCATAATTTTAATTTTTTGTTATTTATTTATTTATTTATTTTTGATAATATGACTTGATAGTATGGCGTGACGGAGAACGAGATAACGGAAACAAACACATCTGGTTGTGGTGGGGAAATTTCTCTCTGCCTCACATTCCCACACAAACACAACACTTACACGTGCCTTTTTTTTTTACTATGTTCATATACTGATGCTGTCCAAATTTCTCCACTCTGGATTTAGGTTCTCTGATTCTTGAAATGGGGGCATTGTCACGATCAACCAGTGATCGAAGCTTTGAAAATGCTGCTTTACGTGCTCTTCGTAAGTTATGGAACTTGAGGAGTTCATTGAATCTTTTGGGAACTACACTGGATGTAGAAACTGGGGAATGGATAGAGCACTCATTTGGAATCGGGGTTGGTATTGTTTGTTGCTAAATTTTGTCTTTTATTTTTCTGAAAACCGTTTGTTGCTTATGTAAACAATTATTAAGATTGCTACGTACTTATTTTTTTCCTTATGAATGATTTTTCTTTTCTTTTCAATTTTTTGTATTGAGAATTTATTATTTTCTAGCTTCTCAAGTTGCATTAATTGAATGGAATCATCTTCTGCTATGCTTGTGCGCTTTGTTGAATTTCTTATGCTGTCTCTCTATTGTCTTTTGTATTGAAAATTTATTATATTCTAGCTTCTCTACTGTTGAATCTCTTATGCTGGAATTACAAAAATTATAACGGTTATCGTGCAACGCACGATGCACACTAGTATTATAAAAAAGAGAAATGAATTTTAACCCAAAGCTTAATGATCTTGTTTATGTTTATTATAATTTGAGATTGCAATAACATTTTTATTTAATTCATTTCCATTAAACGTTTTTTTCCCACTAATTTGTGTTCTTGAAAATTTACCTTAA